CCTTAATTATTTTATGAATTTGTTTGCAAATGATATATTCATTTCACTTTTAGATTTAATGAATAGTGAAATGGACAAACTTACTTTATGGTTAAAAACAAATAAGATTTGTCAGTTAAAATTGAGAGGTACATGATTTTGTAGAAGGTTTTAAATATTTAGGTATTACACTATATCAGGTACTTACGTAGAATTTGTGACAATCTAAGTTCCTGGTGCAGAATACAATGCAATAATGTCTCCTTATTTTACATATTGTGTATCACTTTTGCACAGATGAGGAACAGCAAAGGTTACGAGCTCTATTAAATAAATGTATGCTCATTTTGTTACATTTTAGCAGGTGTAGCCCTATACAGGATATACTAAAGATAATTTTTTTAACCTGCACCAAATCATTCAAGTGTAAAATTTATTTATATCATACAAAACTATCAATAATCGGGCTCCACCTTATCTTGAACAGTTTCTAAAAAAAGATTTGAAATACAAAGTTACGACATTAGGTCAAAAGAAAATTTCCATATACAAAGACTTAAATCTAAAGGTCAAAAAGCCAAAGTTTGTTGAAGGTCTAAAGATGTACAATAATCTGCCTATAATTGTGAAAACATCTAGTATTCTTAACACTTCGGAGTGACTATTCTGATGAGACAACCACTTTGTAAATTTAACACATTTTTTGAAAATAATATTTATCGTTGTCTGAAGTAGCTTAAAAAGCTAACAAATCCTTTTCTATTCTATTCCATTATCAACATCATCATCATCATCGTCGTGGTCAAGGAAATCTGTTTTTGATGAGTTGTCTAGTAACGTAACCTCATTTTGACGGTTTTTTTATCCCTCAGAACTATTCTATAGACCGCTTTTACGAGAGAAAAAGTTATATTTTTTTTCTAAAAAAGGCCTCATTCTCTTCATTCTCTTCATTCTCTTCATTCTGTTCATTCTGTTCATTCTCTTCATTCTCTTCATTCTCTTCATTCTCTTTATTCTCTTCATTCTCTTCATTCTCTTCATTCTCTTCACGGATGTATTTCAATTAGTTTGGTAGTCTCTCCAAAACTAAACCCCTGCAATACATCTAGAAATAGCCACATTGAACAGTTTTTGTCAGTTAAGTAGTATCAAATGCGTTTTTTTTTTCTAATAAATTATTATTTTTGTAAAATCTTATTTCTTCGAAACAAAGAGGTTTTCCAAAAATAAAAAAGGTTCCTAATTCTCATAAGTATTTCTGACAAAATACAATGTGCTCATTTACTACAGAGGTACGAAACACACATCTGCAACACTGTTGCCTTCGGAGGTTTGTAAACACTCCAACAAATTGTCCTTGCTGGCGTACTGCCACAGAGTTTTGCTTAGGGTCGCAGACAATTCATTGAAATTCAGTAAAAATACCCCAAGCCCGTCCATCGGAACGTTTTCCCAACTAGGACAGAATATAAAGTTCTGCTGAAGACCGAATCAGAGGATGCGGAAAGCGCAGATGTCACACTTTACAACGTTTGCTGCGTTGTACACAGTATGAAACTATTAGCCTTTCAAATGTAACTGAATATTGGGTGGGGTGTGTATAGCATAAAATAATATAACATGCTCTTTTAGTGCTTGCAAAGGTTTTTTAACCTCATGGTAAGCTTGACGCTTTAGACTGGAAACACAATATACAGGGTTAGAGGAAAAATTTTACGGATTTTAAAGACGCAAGCTGACCAAAGTATGCGTACTTGAAAACAGTTACTAAATATACTAAGTGACATATAAATCCGAACACCCAGTTTAAATGGTTTTATTTCAATAAAAGCTGGTGAATGTATTTATCTTACTGTAAATAACAAGTGAAACAATTTTCAGCCTTATCAGTTGGATATTCCGGTTTTTATACTGCTTTTTTTTAATTCACTAACGCTCCAAAAATGAATATTTCAGCCGCAGTAAAGAATCAACGTTGGCGGATTTTGGTTCTTGACATCCTTTACGATCGGTTACGATGCGTAGAGTACGGAGACCTGTACGATTTCGTCAACTTAGTGAGTTTGATAGGGGCCGTATAGTGGGACTTCGGGAAGCTGGACTTTCTTTTCGGGCAATTGCAGTTAGAGTGCAAAGAAGTGTAGACACTGTGGTTAGGTGTTGTCAGGCATGGCTTCGAGAAGGCCGTACGCAAAGAGCACGGGGCACTGGACGTCGCCGTAGAACAACAGACCGTGATGATCGCCGCCTAAGATTATTGGCTTTAAGGGACCGTTTCTCCACTACCAGGTCCATTGCAAATGAATGGTTTGCAGAACACGGAAGACCTATTGGCATGCGAAATGTTTACCGACGAATGAGAAGTTTTGGCTTGTTTTCATACCGGCCACACTGGGTCCTCCATTTAACTCGAGAACACCGACGTAATCGCCTTGAGTGGTGCAGACAATGGTCACTCTGGGATCAGGAATGGAACAGTATTGTCTTTAGTGACGAGTCTCGATTTTGTTTAGGCATGCACGATGGTCGTGCCAGGGTTAGAAGGCGACGTGGTGAAAGGAGGAATCCACAGTTTTTTGTTGAAAGACATGTTCATCACACTGTTGGAGTTATGGTATGGGGTGCTATAGCTTATGGTTCCAGGTCACCTTTAATCTTCATCAGAGGTAACATGAACGCGCAGCGTTATATCCACGAAGTTCTAGAACCCCATCTTTTACCCTATCTTGACACCCTGGTAGATCCAACTTTCCAACAAGATAATGCTCGACCACATGTTGCAAGAGTCACAATAGACTTCTTTCAACATAATGATGTCACATTGTTACCATGGCCACCAAGATCTCCCGACTTATCCGCAATTGAGCACGTGTGGGATATGATGGGTAGGAGATTGCTCAATTTGCAACGTCCTCCTCAGACTCTAGAAGCACTGCGAGAGGAGCTGGTGGTTGCCTGGAATGAGATACCACAGGAGGACATTGACCACCTGATCAGAAGCTTGCCTAGGCGCGTTGGAGAATGCGTAGCACATCAGGGTGCATCCACAAATTATTAAAGGTCAAAGGGCTTTAAAGCAGTGCAATCATTTTGAAATTTTGATCATTTACTTATTATGCTTCATTAAGTACTTATACAAAATTTTATTAAAATAAAACCATTTAAACTAGGTGTTCGGATTTATATGTCACTTAGTATATGATTTATGACCATATATGCAATCTGGTTCTATAACTTCTCTCTTACATTTTAGTAAGACCAATGAGCCTCATACGTATAAATCTAGGGACTTTTGATAAAAAATTTGGAGAGGTGATTCCATGAAACCTCCATTTACTCGGACTTTTAGCATAGCAAGAACGTTTGGCAGTTTGCGAAATAGATAAAAACCGAGAGTACGGTAGCCGCTACATAACTTCCCAACCAAATTTCTCTTTTTGCGACTATACGAGTAGAAGTGTCTGGTCGGGAATTGTCATATTGTATGACTACACTTCCTGTTTACTGATCCTGCGCGCATGCCCTGCAATGTATCAATAAAAGCATCATACTTCTCTGAGTTCAGTTTCTCATCTCCAACCAAACAGTAATTCTGTGTCCGCTTATCGCCCATACCGATCCGGGGTACCCCCATTCAGAGACCAAACTGCGTAAAATTGCTCAATTAATCTAGTCAAAGCCATTTCATAACGTCGTTTCAAGTGTTAAATCTGTAGTTGTCATAATAATTGTTACCCGGCAGGTTTATGAGACACTGATAAATTCTCGTCCTATGTATGAAACGCGGCTGGCGCAGTGACGAAGGTTGACAGTGGAATCTTTAATTAAGTTATTAATAGCCTGAAGGCAAAATGTAACCAGTAGAGTATCATATTTTAACTTTATGGAGATAGATAGAGAGAAACCGCTGGTAGAATATTGCACACTTTTTTCGGGACACCCTGTATATAGCATGAAATTAAGTAGTACTTGAACGAAGGAAGAAAGAGAGATTTTGAATACGATCCAAACTCGCAAACTCACTCACGCTGGTCACGTGATGCGATATCCCGAAAAAAAATTCGTCATGCAGGAAAAGACTGATGGTAGAAGACGAGAAGGATGCCCAACTTCCTGGATGATGTGGCTCAGCCAAACAACAGAGTTACCTTTCACAGCTGCCGTAGACAAGATTACTGACTCAATATACTTGGCACAAATTTTTGTCCAGTGCTTACTGCATCTCAGCCAGCCTAATAATGAATTCGTCAATTTGTCCAAACAATACTGTAATTCCCCGCAACATACATCATTCATATAAATACGCCGCTATTATAAACACACAATTTCCAACGTTGAGCTAAAATTGGTGCTGAAGTTCATAATGGGGGATGTTTAATCAACTCACTGCACACGATAATGGTGAGATGCAAAAGTTTTGAATACGAGTTCAAAGGTAATTATGAGAGTGAATGCAAATCACTTGCGAAACTTTAAACAATGCATATATGCAATCGTATGATCATGCGAAGCACTAAAAGCAGAAAATATATCCCAGTGTTTGCTGTTTTATGCTTATTGTGATACGTGAATGCATTTTTCAAGTGGGATACTATGACTCATGGATATTAAATAGCATTTTTCTACTCGCTGCGTGTTTTGGGAATTATACAGGGTGTCCCGAAAAAAGTGTGCAATATTCTACCAGCGGTTTCTAGAGCTTAAAATAGGAAGAAAAGTTTACATAAACATAGGTCGACAAACGACCCCTAAGGGCGCTTCGGTCTTTTAAAGGGACTCCCTTGAAGATGGTTTTTCCTTAATATTTCCGAGACATAAAATTTGGTATTCTAGCCTAGTTTCAATGAGCAAATTCACGCACAAGTGGCAGCCTGCTGATCTACCATTTTGAAAGATAATTGTTTTATATTCCAGGCTTAACCAACGGAAGCCTAAACTCTGTCTAAAATAGAATCACAATCTAAGAACAGGGTTCATGATAAAGCTCAGTAGATCACGCATAGTTTGTCTTTTGTTTCAGACTGAGGAAACCCCTTTCCCCGAACGAGCTGGATGAAAATGCCCCCTTTCTGCAATACGCTACCTGGTCACCAGATGGCACTGCCGTCGCGTTCGTCTATGACAACGACATTTACTATAAGCCGAAGGTGGAAAAAGATCTAGTGTGCAGGTAAGGAAACACGACATTCTAAAAAGTAATTGTTCAATCATGTGTGATCGCTTAACATTTTAGAAACCTTAAACCCTCATCGTCCGAAAGGTTATGTACCATAGAATGCCCATCATATGCTAACGGATACAAATTCGGCAGTGGTCGATTAAGGTCACCCCACTATGAACATCGCTCTTGGAGAACTCAAAACACTTTGGCCATTCAAATAAGGTGTCTCCAGAACTTTCAAATTCCAAATGTACAAAATCTTGATAATAAACAATTTAATGCAAACCTTTAGTGTCATCTGTGGGTATAGAACACTTTGTATATACTATAATTGGTAACTCCAAATTTTATTAATTTTGGCGTAATGGTAGACATTATGGATCTACTGATCAGCCGTCGTGCGCTGCGTGGGTTCGAATCCCGTTCCAAGAGAATCCTCTTAGCTATGGATGTTATGATTATCCATAGGTGGTAGGTGGTCTCTGACTGTCGAACGTGGAGGTGGTACCACCCGGTGGATCTCGAAGGTGGGGCCAGAATAGATGCATTTTGCATGCACACGTGTTCCTTTGATCGAGTCCGTGTGGTGCCTACTCCCTTTTCCCCGGTATCCATCTATAGCCCCAGGGTTCCTATGGGTGTTTAGGCCTGAGGCCTGCGTGGCGATTTAAGTATAAAGATTTTTCTACCTAGGTATTTAATATATACTTTGACTTATGCATAAAATGAGCATTCGTAGAACAGCAGTAAAAAACTTTGGACCAAGTTGTAGTAATACTACTCACCTTTTTTGAATGAGCACATTTTCTACTCTCAAGAAGTTCTTTGAAACTCATTATGGCCCTATAACACTTTTGTCTGCGCTTTCTCACCCTTTCCCATTTCGCCAGCAGTGCGGTCAGAACGTTTTTGAACTGAAAGGGTTAAGTAGGAATCCAGTGGGAATACAAAGTTTATCATTTAACCACAAAACCGTTCTTCACCACACACTTCTCGGGGTACCGGAAACAGAGGAGAAAAGTATCTAAAGAGCTTGGAGTTCCATGAGATAGAAACGGTGTCAAGGCCGATCTCGCTACCCAGCAAATGAGTTGTTCAAATCGCATTTATACAAAAAACATAGTAGTAATATGCATCCAGGTTTAGGAAAGCCTTTTTGAACGAAATCTTAATCGAACAAACATTGATTAATTACTTGAAATTGACTTATACTCTTTTCACATATAGGAGAGTGAATAAACAAATGGCTGTGCTAAGATAGCTTGCATCAGCTCATAAAGCTCAACTCCCGTATCGCAAATCATTGATAGGCATGCACATTCACCATAATTTCTATATATTTTAAATTATGTTGAGTGTATACCTGATTCGCAATAATATGAAGGTTCTTTTCTATAGAATGATACGTCACTATTTTATGTTCTTACTAGTTTTTGAAATTTAAATTAACCGATACAAAATATTTGTCAAGATTTGGTAGCGGTCAGCTAACGTGAAGTCATCCAGCGGTGCAGCGCCTTTATCAGTTCGCAACGATAATCGGCATACTATAACGGAGACACCGTTTTTATTGTACAAAGTCTAATTTATTACTTTTACACTAATTTATAATTCTTGTAATAATTTATGACAATTTACAGCGATGTTGACTGGACTACGACGTTCCGTGTTGTTTCACTACCAAGACTGTGACTAACTGATTCCGCCATCTGGTCGGGTACTTATCGCAATATTGACGCGTCGAGAGATGTTCCCTCGTTTTCCAAGTCAAGTCGTGAACTTCCATGGAAGTAATCTAAATGGCGGCAGGTGCTTCCAGACTGATCTCGAGTAGTTGAAACTCGCTTTAACCGTTTTATACAGCGCCGCAAGCGCTCACACACGATCGCGTTACTAGTTGCCTTCGATCGGCTTTGCAAAGCGACTCCTCGCCGCTCAAGGTCCCAGCTATTCGAGAGAGTTACAATACCATCAAATCTGACATCCGATTGAAAAATGCTGTCAAACTGATTATTTCCGAAAAATATTTCTGCTCTTTCTGCTGTGGAATATACCATGATTAATTTAAGTAATACAGTGTTACAAGTTATTTTAGCAACAAAGTTTGGTCAAATCAATCACAAACTATGTACTAAATTCATATTTAAAATAAGTACGGGATACTTCCTTATCTTTCTTGAAGAAATAACTGTTTTGCAACAAAAAATCTATCCAATAGCTATTTTCAACAACAAAATGATAAACAAACCATGGGCGTAGTGAAGAAAAGCATTTACTTATTAAGTAAATTCTTTTAGTCAAATTTGTTCTGAAAGTAGTACAAACTAATCTGCTGTACCTATTAGTCTACCTTAAGCTTTAAATCAATAAATCTGCAAAACTACTGAACTGAAGTACATTTTTTTTTTTTTATATATCGAAACAGCCGCGCAGGCAGAAGCCTAAATGCCGGAACACCGCGGCTGCTATGATGATCCCTAAGAAATTTTGTTAATACGATTTTTGAACTGCCTAAGGTTAGTAGAACTGGGAAAAGCTTCCTCCCGTAGATTGTTCCACAATCTAGACACCCTCGGGACAAAGGAGCGGTCGTATCGGCCAGTTCTGGATGTACGAAGTTTGACACGGTTAGGATGGGATGCCGAAGTCAGGCGGGTCTGTCTGGCAGGCGCATCGCGCGGTGGCATCATGGAAGAGAGTTCTGAGGAGCAAAGCCCGTTGGTGTAGCGATAGAAAAGAGCTACATCGCCGACGGCCCGCCGGTGCGAAAGAGTCCCGAGACTGTCTGTTAGAGAAGAGTCATCGATCAGTCGGACCGCCCTTCTCTGGACAGCATGGAGCATGGATAATGTAGTCGGGGCGGCAGCACCCCAAATGTGTGAGCAATACTCGAGGCTAGGCCTTATCTGGGCCTTGTATAGAGTGAGAAGGTCATGCGGAGAAAAGTACTTCTTAGCCCTAAACAAATAGCCGAGCTTTTTCCCAGCAGCTGCAGCTATTGAAGAGATGTGTTCGTGCCAGATCAGGTCCTCGGTGATCTGGACTCCAACCAGCCGAAATGAATGGCTCTTTGATAGAACTCGACCGTCCATCGAAACTGTATGAGCGCTAGGACGCTTTTTGTTCGTCAAGGTACAGTACTGTGTTTTGGAAGCATTGAACTGTACAAGATTGTTGCGTCCCCAAGCAGTGATAGCCTCCAGGTCTCTTGTCAGAGAAGAAGTCGTCGCTAGTCTTCTTTTTTCCAGCTCAGCGGCAGAGATCGGCTTGTCACTCTGAATTCCTGCATGTAGAGTGCTGTCATCAGCGAAGCTGTGGATTGGGTTGATCGTGCAGGAAAGGAGGTCGTTGATATGTAAGAGAAACAGTGTTGGAGCCAAGACCGATCCCTGGGGAACACCCGCGTTGACGTTGTGGGATGAAGAGGAGAATCCGTCAATTACGACGGATATCTTGCGGCCAGAGATAAAGTCAGCCACCCATCTGCAAAGCTTTTCTGGGAGGCCGTAGGATGGAAGTTTGCTTAAGAGGGCAGCGTGCCACAGCTGATCGAACGCTTTCGCGATGTCAAGAGGAACGACATGAGCCTCACCATGAGACTGGATGAGTTTACTCCACAGTTGCGTGACGTAAGCTAGGAGGTCCCCTGTGGATCGTTGGTGCCGGAAACCGTACTGCCTGTCGCTAATCAAGCTGTGACGTTCGAGGTAGTCCAGAAGCTCGCGATTTATGCACCTCTCCATCACTTTACTTATAACAGAAAGCAGAGCTATAGGCCTGTAGTTGTAAGGGTCGGTTTTAGATCCTTTTTTTGGGATGGGCTGTACATGAGCAAATTTCCAGTTTTCTGGGAAGGTGCCGGATTCATAAGATATCTGGAAGAGACGCGAAAGAACTGGAGCAAGCTCCGCTGCACATCTCTTCAGTACAATGGCAGGAATCAAGTCCGGACCAGAAGCTTTGTTGATGTCGAGCGACAAGAGCACTCGTCTTACGGTCTTATGCCTGAATGTTACTTCCCGCATAGTGTGGGGAACCCTTTGAATTGACGGCACTTGGGCGTTGGTGGGGACGTCCATGGTGGAGTTGGCAGCAAAGATCTTGGCTAGCACTTCCGCCTTGGCCTTTGAGTCGAAAACAATAGTTCCATCCTGACACGTAAGTGGTGGAAGGCTACTATGTGAGAAGTTCTTTTCAATCTGCTTGGCCAGCGTCCAGAAAGACCGACTGCCATTGCGCTGCGACATTACCCTGTGCCTAACTTTTATATCATGCTGGTTTTTGGCATTGCGAACCGCTTCGTTATATTTGTTTCTGGACTCGACGTCGGCTTGTCTGTTCTCTACAGTGGGGTTTTGTAAGTAGGTTCTGTGGGCCTTGATCTTCTGCTGGCGAGCAGTGTCACACGATTTTTTGAACCAGCCGTTGGACCCTGGTTTAGGAACTTTCACTGTGTGAGGGATGTATTCCTCCATTCCGACGTGGATAATTTCGGTTATTGAAGAACAGACAGTCGACGCATCCGCGTCAGTGAAACAGACATCTCTCCAAGGAAAGCTAGAGAAGAAGTCTCTGAGCCCCTCCCAGTCGGCATGTCCGTAATGCCAAGTTTTGCGGCCTGTGCGAGTTTCTGCTGCCACAGCGGCTTCTGACCGAAACCTAACCTCCACAACACCGTGATCTGAATTACCCAGGGGGGACAGGACAGCAGTGCTGTAAGGGGCAGGATGCGTGGTCAGAAAGAGATCTAGCAGGCTACTGGCGTGTGACGAGACGCGGGGGAAAAAAGTAGGGCTCGTCACCAGCTGGGTCAGCCTTTGAGTAAGAGCGAACGCTTCGACTGCACGACCTGCTGCATCGGTCTTATTTGAGCCCAACCAAAGCTCATAATGGGCATTGAAATCACCGAGAAGAACTACCTCTGAAGCGGGGTGATTGATGTTCAGGAAGTCGATCTGGACGGCGAGGTATTCGAGTAGGTCATCCCAGTTATAGTTCGAGGGAGAGCGATAAAGGCAGCAAATAAATTTGGGTGACGTTTTGGAGTTGAGGCGAAGCCACAGAATGTCCTTCCGGTCTGATTCCAAAGAAAGATCCCTGGAGCAGGAAATACTGCTGCGGACAAAAGCCACAACTCCCCCGTTCTTTCTCAGATTGGAGTGCACCTCGTAGTTTGGGAAGTTGAGATGGTTAATCGGTGCAGTCTCTGAGATTTTTGTCTCCGCCAAGAAAAGTACGGCGGGACGATTGGATTGCAGGTAGTGATGAACAGCATCAATGTTGCTGTTGATCCCGCAGATGTTCGAAAAACAAATTTTATCTTCGATGTTGTTCCCTCGAGCCCACCCTCCACCCGGACATTCCGAGAGTGGAGTGAGTTTACGTCCGTTTACATTAATTTTATATCATTATAAAGGGAATTGAAAGACCTTTAAAATAAGGTATCAGTCGACCCCCCTTTCCATTTAAGATTTTGGGGGTGGGGTCACCCCCGCTTAGGGGGCTGCATGTGCTAACGTGATTTTTTGCCAAACTTGTGTCCCCCTCGAAAACAAAATCGACGGATCCGAGCGTTTTTCCAAAAAAAAACTGAGCTACCAGTAAAAGCGTCTGTTTCGTTTTAGATGCGCCACCCTGTATATAAAGTCTTCCAATAATAATATTTTTCATTCATTCTTCCTTTCAGGATAACCAGCTCGGGACAAGCGGGTGTGATATTCAACGGCATCACAGACTGGTTATACGAAAGCTACATCCTGCACAAATCAGGCGTGGTGTGGTTCTCCCCGGACAGCGTGTACCTGCTATACGTGACCTTCAACGACACCAATGTCGGCGAGTACAAGTACCCGTGGTACGATGGGGAAGAGGGGCAGTCCGTGTATCCGAAGATCAGGTCGTTCAGATATCCGAGGGTAAGCTGAAAATTTTGAGTTTATAGTTACTGTTGCCGAGGAGAAAGCATCACGAAACAATCACTGGATGCCCTGATGAAACACGTTTATTTATACAGCTCGTACGCCACTACCAGGACGTGTGTGTATTATGCTGCTCCCTTCCTTTTCGGTACCAGACTATAGACTAGGGACCAATCGATACCGATACATACAACGGCCCAATTTGCCGGTATATGAATTGGCCGATATGACTGCACATCAGCCGATATAAACTACAATGCCATAAACGTTGAATACAAAAGAATTGAAGAAAAACACTACCTTGTTATAAGTAAAAGTAAACGGCAATTTTCAGCCTTCAGTTTTGCTGAAATCGTGAAATGACTGCGTTTTGGTGATAGTATTTAGAAATATGATACTTCATATTATTTGATATGTTCGCTGTTTCTCCCTAGGAAATATTTGTATTCTTTAGGTCATAAATTGCACTACCGATTTTTTGAGCCTTTTGATCAGTAACTTTGTCGACATATTCCCAGACAACACTAGTCAGCCTTATTTTTCCCGTTTTCGTACACTATTTGACTTGATACAACCAAAACAGCTGAAGTAAATCGTATTTCTTGTTTGCACAAAGTTGTGTTTGGAAACATTTACTTGTGTAACATTTGATTTCTACAAACACGGTGTCCACCACGGATTTATCGAAAAACACTGATTAAAAGAAAAAACGCCGATACACATCAAAAGATTTGTCAAGGGGGGGAACTTTTTAACTAAAAACTACTTCACCCTCTGACCCCAGGGTCATCCCCCTAAAATTTTAAATGTCAAGGGGTATCGAGTAATAGCTTGTTTGAAAGGTCTTTCGAAGTCCTTTATTTTAACGATTGATTTTTTAAAATCGGTGTATTCGTTTTGAAGAAAATTAGGAAAATCTTTATTTATCTGGATTTGTTTAAATAGAAAATAAAAAAAAAGGAAATAACACTTTTTATTTCAATAATTGTTCAAAATGTTTCCCGTTATTCGCCAAACAATCATATAGGCGATGTTCAAATTCCTGACGGACATTTTCTAAAACATGTTGTGGGATACCATTGCAGCTTTCGATGTTGCGTTGACGAAGTTTATCCAAACTTTCAGGTTGGGGAGTAAACACAATAGATTTCAAATGGCCCCTTACAAAAAGGTCTAATGGCATCAAATCAGGAGATCTAGCAGGCCATTCCATAGGCCCTCTTGGCTCTATCCATTTATCTGGAAACTCGTCCTCTAGCTATTGCCGAACCGGAAGAACATAGTGAGGAGGAGCGCCATCTGGCTGGAAATATATTCCAGCCTCATCAAGAATAAGATTTTTATAATTTTCTCGAAAACAAATCGACCGATTTTAAAAAAAACGTCAAAATAAAGGACTTCGAAAGACCTTTCAAACAAGATGACATAATGACCCTGGGGGGGGCAAGGGCGGAAGGGGGTGAAGTAGTTTTGGGTTAAAAAGTTGTCCCCCTTGACAAATCTTTTGACGTGTCTCAGCGTTTTTTCTTATAATCAGTGGTTTTCGATAAATCCGTGGTGGAAAGTTTTTAAATGAACACCCTGTATCTATGTACGTTTGCATGTCCTCGGCAGATTTTTGCTAATATATTTTTATATTTTGAGTCTATAACTTATTACTGTTTTCATCAGAGGTTACAATTGTTTTAACTTTTTTGACAATCAAAACAAAACCAGCCAAAGAGAATATATTCGTGCCAACCATTTTACTTTAAAATGTTCTGTTGAAGTTGGTTTGTGCCAAATGAATCCAAAAAAATGTTCACAAGCATTTTTGTTATTGTTAAGTAAACAATTATTTATGTTTCCGCGGAGTATTCCTTCTGGAACGCCCACGTTGGTGTGGTGCGAATTAGAGGGAAAACCACCATTTTCGAGTGATATTGTACGATGAGGCGTCAGCTCTTAAAGACCAGGAGGCTTAATAACTAACACAGTAAGCGCGGTTGAATACAAATCAAAAGAAAAAACAAAAAAGGCATACACCAAATAACTGTCTCAAGTTACTTGAATTGAGGTTCCGCTCAAAAACTGTGACTGGGGGCATAAAAAGCCAAGGGTTAGCTATTTTTGAGGTAAGTAAGTTAGTTGTGGTAAAACTTTATTTTTCAACTAGCTGTAAGATACGTGGTTTGATCATAGATGACAAGTTACGTTACCAACAATACATTGAAGCAATATCTCAGAGGTGTTATTTGAAGCTGCGAGTACTGCATGTCAATAAGTAGATACATTATTACCTTAAAGACGAGGAAAAAGCTGGCTGAAAGTTTAGTGCTTCCAATTATCAGTAATGGTTTGGTAGTTTTTTATCCATGCCTGGACTATTCGACTCAAATGCGCCTACAGAGATTGTCGAATAACTGTTGCCATTTTGTTTGCATCTGACCACATATTTACGAGCCCCTTCCCACTTAAATTGGCCCAACTATTGAAATCTTAGTTTTTTTCTTATCAAACACAAATAATAAAAATGTAGCAGGGTGTTATAGGTTTAAAATATGAACAATGAATATTTTGATAATATATAGTAGAAAACATCAATTTTATCACTCCCTAATCAAATTTGCAGCATAAAAATAACACATGTTGCAATTACAGCAGTTAAGGTTTTCAAAATGGGTAGAGGAAAAGGTTATTAGTGAGAAAATTCGGTTACTGATAATTAAATTTTTTAATTCTGGGAAATCAAACTAAGAAATTGCAACTTTGTTAGAATTATCGCGGTACAGTTTGAGAAATATTGTTAGAAGATATTACGTAACTGGTTCAGTTAATATTAAGCCACGTTATGTGAAAAAAAGTAATATCACAAATGCCGACCGAAGAGCATTAAGAAGGATAATCGTGAAAACAGGCGTGCCAATTATTTACAATTGAGTGCTCTGTGGAGTGTCGCTGTTGGAATGAGAATTTCGAGGTCCACAACTCGTAGAGAGGCCCACAAACTGGGATTTAGCACTTGCAAGGTAAGTTCTCTTATGAAAAAAGTGAAGTAAAAACCCTAATGTTGCACAACTTCTTTATAGGCCAAAGAAAAGCCACTATTAACTCCACTGCAAAAGAAAAATCGGCTTAGATGGGCTAAAGAACATAGACAATGGACACCTGAACTATGGCGTGCAATACAATAGAGTGATGAGGCCCGATTCGAAGTTTGTGCTGGTGACAGTCGCAGTAGAGTTATTCGCAAAAAAAATGAAGCATTAAATGTTGACTGTCTGAAGAGGAAAGTGAAATTTCCAGCATCCATAATGGTCTGGGGCAGTATGTCATCAAAAGGAGTAGGAAAAATCCATTTTATTGTTGGAAATGTGGATACAAACAAATATTTGGCAATTTTAGAAGAATCGCTTTCACCAGTGATGGATGAATGTTTGACATCCGGCCAAGATTTTGTGTTTCAGCAAGATGGTGCAGCGTACAATACCTCAAAAAAGGCTATAAAATGGATGGAAGAAAATAATGTACCACTTTTGAAATGGGTTTCTAGCAGTCCAGATCTGTCACCTATTGAAACTTTGTGGCACGAGATGAAAAAGGTTCTACGACAACATCCCGCTCGTACAGTCACCAAACTGAGATAAAAGCTTCAAGACATATGGGATTGTGTTACACCAAATTTTTGCCAAAACTTGGTTAACACTATGCCCTAAAGAATTTCAGCCGTAATAAAAAATAAAGGTGATGTTACCCAATGGTAATCTTTCAATTGTTGCTTTTTTAACTTGGCGCATCCTAACTTTCACTCAATGTTACTACTATGCTAAGCATGACAAAGCTTTAGTTATTGAAAATCGGTGTAGTGGTGGCGGAGGTAGGGGCAAAAACCTGAAAAAAAAAATAAAAAAATCGCTATAACTTAATCTTTGAAGTTTCAGAGGCTCCAGATAATTTTCGGAAATATTTTTGTAGGGGTTGAAACTTGGGGGTTGGGGGGGACGTAAGTAGTTGTAAATATAACGTCTTTTGTATTAGTCAAAGACGTTCTGGTATTGAGAAGCTTCTGATCTCGGTAACAACGGGAAAATTAAGAGACAAAAGTTCGATAAATTAATTATAATAACTTGGCTATCGTTGGCGTTGCGCGTACGGGCGTTGCTGCACCGTCGCGTCGTGGAGATCGCTGACGACTGTGTAATGGGTAACAGTCCTACTGGTCTGTGATGAAGTCGTCACTCACACTCCCCTGCAGGAGAAATATTTATATATTTTAGCAGTATTTGGATATTATCGTATTACGTACAGCTCTAGTGCTCTGCGGTGCTTTGGTAAAAGATGACTTAACTGTTTTTGTAGTATCTACGCATATATTTTTTTGAGTTTTATGACGGTTCTCTGAATATTTCGTGAAGTAGATTGACTTAGTACTTATGATGCATTGATATACAACAGACACAGACTGACACACCAACATAAATGAGAAACACGGTCTTGTGTGATACAGATGTCTTTAAGCAATAAAGAACTTGTAAACCAAAGTTCGAAAATTATCGTGAGCTGAATAGTTCCATCATTTAGGTAGTACCTAAATAATCACGATTCGATTTCGCCTTTTGAAACGATTTGACTCATCCATTTTCTTTGAAACCTCCAACAAAGGCGTAGGAAGGATAGAGTGCATCTATTTGATGCAATTTTCCAGGATAAACAGAAAAAATCAGTTGCGGTTCCTATGGCAGCGAGTCATTACCTGATAAGTCTGGCGCCTTTGTTCCCAACATGTCGATAATCTAGATTAATTTATCATAAGACTACGAATTGACTTTAGGAGAGAGATGCAAAGTGTATGTACAGAGTGAAAGTGTTTCTTTCATAAATTTCGATTACTCAGCTTTGTTGATGAGATAATTATAGAACGACTAGAATAGATATCTGAAACGGTTACTCAAGAACACTCCCTAATCTGTACTACAAACCTTCTTGAAAGCAGCATAATGATTGCAATCTAATGGCACA